TTACTTAATGTTTGTATAATTATCATTTTTTCAGAAGGTTCGTATGTCGACGAGGATTTGCGACGGGCAGATTTAGAAGACTGATGAAATTAATCAATCACGCGTTGAATTAACGATCCCCATGGGAGAGAGACAGTACAGATCCTTGCCTTTGTTAGCATAAATTTGCATGGGACAAGAAAAAGTGACTTACGCGTAGACTGTGAGTAGCAGATTAAACAACGGAGATATGCCCATATACATTCGTGAGTTTCTTTATTTAGAAGAGAACAATTCATTCACAATACATCTGACGAGGATTTCCACTCTAATTAAAGCTAAAAAAGGCAATCCATCGAAGTGATTAATTGTTCGATCTCTGTTTACAATGATTACCTTAAAAAAATGTTCGAGAGAGTTGGCCAAGAATCGATTGACGTTGCGATAAAACGCGCAGCGTTCTCTCAATTAAAAGCGCACCTTGCAAAACGTTTTCCCATTCGAAGCAGAGTGAAATAAAAGGTAGCACGAATTCGTTCGATGAAAGCGCATCTGACGCATTTTATACGCACTCGCATGCGAGAGGTGAAATTGCAGCTGCAGAGAAAACGGAAGGAGAATGACACTTGCTGCTGTTCATCTGGATACGAAGACGCGCTGCTAATTCGGTAACACGTGAAAGTTTTTGGCGGCCGATCGGTTTAATTACAGCGCTCTTTCATGCTTCGTTTTGAGCCTCGTTGTGCGCGAGGTGGCAAAAGTTAAATAGCCCGTGACCAATGACAACTAGAATTTCACAGGTTTAGAATATTTCTTGACAGATGACTGATCGCTGCTGGAGACTTTCTTCGCGGTGTCTATATTACTATGTGCTCGATGGAAGGATGGAGGTTATTCCACTTTCCTTCGCGGAGATCTGACGTATATGGAAATTGAGTTGGATTTTCGGGCAACTCGTATGTTACGACCGGGGACTGACAGGAAAATTATTTGCATGCATTCTACTGCGGATTTGCTAACACGCCAACACCAAGTAAATTCAAAAAACGATTCGCGAGCGTTTCCCCCGTATCTACTCGGCGGACTCGTCAACGGGGTTCTGACGAGCAAAGGCGAAAAATAGTGTTAATAAAATTTTGACGCTACCTGATGACGCGCAGCGTCTATTGTGTTCGTCCTGGCCCCGCTAGTTGCTCGACCGCTCGCTTCGCCAGTTTACTTCTCTCCGAACGAACGTCCGCTTTCTCTTTACCTATTTCGGCTGAATTTTCCATTTTTCCTTTGCGCCCTCTCGCGTTTCCAACTGAAGGTCCTGTTATGGAGGACTCAACGCGCGCGAATATTCAAATTTAAACACGAAAAATTGTTGTTAAGCTCGTACGCGTGGGAAGTCGTGAAATACGTGATTTTCGAAAACTATTGCTCATCGGATCTTGACTTGTTGATTTGCGACCTACTACAAGTATAATTCAGGATGTAAATAACGTTCGGCATCGATCATTAGTATAATACGCGTTTACGCGATCTATTTGGCCGCAATATTTTCAAGAGTGAATGCTTGATGATTGGTTTTACGAGCGAAGAATCTAGATCACGGGAAAGTAAAGCCTAAACACGACGAAAGAAACTTAACCAGGCTATATACAATAGCATTTAGCGATAGATTTTGCGTAGCGTCAAGATTACGCAAGTTATTTACTCGAGTCGTGCATGCGTCGGCTCAACAAGGAACACTCGCTGGCGCGCGGAAAGCGAGATTAATGAATGGCGCGTATAGATTAAAACCATTTTCCATGCATTATGAGTTAGCACGTACTTATGCGATAAGCTATACGTACATATAAGCGAGAAACTTTGCACTTGAGAATCCTGCACACGAATGCTTTTATAAGAGCACTTTGCTGTTTCACCGCGTTATCGTTGTAAATACCAAACTATAAATTTTACACATCTATCCGATTGCCCGGTTGCAAATTTAATTAATTTTCCCGCATAATTTATTTACTTCCGTACTGCTCAAAGTTGATCAGAATTCGAATAGTTGCACTTATTTTTTTTCGATTGGAGGTCACCCACTCGCGAATAAAACTTAAGTAATGACCAAGACCTACTTACACCGGCTAAGCTCTTACCTTTCAAGCGCAAATAAAAAAAAATTACGGGCTTGTCTTCGCACATGAAAGTAAAAAAATGATCGGATGAGGTGTCGCTTTGGCGGATGAGCAATAACGGCAACAACACGCCGGATGGACGCGAGCCGTGCACTCAAACTTCGCATGTGCACCACAGCTGCTTTTTTCCTTCTCTTTCTCTACCAGCAGTAGCGACGTCAGTGGCAATATCTCCAATTACCATTCGTAATTGGCTGCCTCGGCGGCGGTCCTCGACGCGATCGTAATCGTGCTTTCATCTCGTATATACCTGCATTACCACGTTAATTTCACTCTTGGCTCTAAATAATACTTCCTTTATGCCAGATATCAGGTGAGTGGCTAAAAAATCCCGAAATGGAAAGTACAGTGCATAATTCGACAAGCGTCGCGCCAATGCACGTGATAACGGGATCCGTCTATACGTGTGCCGCAAATCGGAAAGTACAAGTTTTCGCTGTCGCTGTAATGTCTGAACACGATGAGCTTGACTTGTTGTGCGTTTTGTACATATAGCCAAATGTCTGCTGCGCGTGCCAGCTTCGCGTTGTAAGATATAAATTCAATCACTTTCTTCTCTCGTATTTGCTAGACAGTCAGTGTAGCACGAAATGATCGACCTATAAATTAAGTATCAAAAGGTTTTTCACGTGGGATGATGTCGATTGGCTGTTGTAAAAAGCCCCGGAATTCAGAAAAATGTAATATACAGCAAGAGTAGCCGTCAGTGCAGTCGATTCGCTGAAATGGCGAAGGACGCGGTGCTCAATAATTCATAAATCGAGTTCTCGGTGAATAAGCCCATGCATCTCTATCGCAGAGGAGCTACCACACACATGGTTATCAATCAACCGTATTTGCATCGAGCAGTCAACTGTCGGTCTGGCGAAATTCGCGAAAGTATATTAATCACCTTGAGCGCGGGGTGGCCGAGATAAATCCGTCAAATTACACGAGCGCAGCCGCGCCGACGAAAACAAGTGGAAAGTCATTTGCCACCGGGGAAGGAGCGAGCTCGTTAACGTCTCGCTACAATGACTGTAAACCAGGTGGGAGAGAGCTTACAATCGCGCATGCATAATGAGTTTTGTTGCTTTGCTACCGCACACCAGCGGCGACCATTGATTCACCCAGTACAGTTCCCGGATAAGCGACCACCATCAACTTCCGCGCGGGATTATACCCGTGCACGCGCGGCTGCGGGACACAAACACAGCTGCATGCGCTCGCGCTGCGTTAGCTATCGAGCGTAATGTGTCGATATGCGTGTGCTTGCGATGAGCAACGCTGCCCCCCCCCCCCCCCCCCACTTCTGTCGCGATATCCGTATGTTACTTTTGACGTGTGATCGATTGATGGGCTTCGATTTTAATATGAACTAGAAATATACAATTACCATGGTAAGTACACAGCTCGTTGAATATTTATGCATACACCGCGGTATACATGCACATTTAATTCTTCTCAAAATGCAAGTGTATGCCTATAGAATGTAAGGGCAGTTACATCTTACTTACAATTTTCAACAGTCATGCCCTCTCGATATGATATAGCAGAGATCAATGAAAAATCATGCACTGCACTCAGGGAGGTGTATCATATTCAAACGTGAACAGCTTCGGTTCGAGCTTCAAATATATATGTATATACGTATATCTCGATCCGTGCCCGATCTCAAGAGTAAGATAAGTATATTATAAAGTACACTTTCTTCACTCCATTATATGCAGCAGCACATAACACGTTTTATAAAGTATATATTATTTCTTTTTACCTGGCAAGTCGTATAACGTTTCGGCGAGGGCCTTTCTCTCTCTCTCTCTCTCATTCCCCTCCTTCTTTTGTGTATTCTATATGTTTGGTGGCTAACAGATAGACGCGTGCGGAGCGCGAGCGATTGTAGAGAGCGAGAGAATCCGGACACGAGGCGAGCGAGCGAACACACAAATAAAATAGGGACAATGAGTCGTGGAATGTGACAAAGTGTCTGCGGATATATCTGCCGATGAGTTTTCCTGCACTTTCTCTGACCATTTTCTCTTTGTTCGCGATAGATACTCACCATTACTGGCGGAGATCCGATCTTTCAGAGGTGAGAAAAAGAAGAGAAAAAATTATTCGAGAGGGATCCGAGTTGTCTGTTAGTTCGCTAACGGTTTTCTTTCTCGGCAATTGCGTAAGATATATCGCTATGCCGACCCTTGATAAAAAGTAATGACTATGCAAAAACAGACGAGACATTTTTTCGTTAACGCCGAGAGAGACTGACAGATCTTAGCTCGCACTCTCTTATCCGTTTTACGAATTATTGTTGCAGCTGTTAAAAATCATACAATGCTCATTGTGTTTCTTTGAAATTTCACTTTTGAATAAACGGACGAGAAAACCAAAAATTATAATATACCAGCGTATCTTTCTCTTTCTTCTGTGCAAATCGACCGACAAAAGCATCAAGGATTTTACACGCACGCGTGTGCTAGAAACAGGAAGCCGCTCTACACGGCGGAGGCGGTGAATAATAAGAAAATGTCGCCCGCATCACGCGGACGCGATGCGCGCGCTTAGAAAGCCATCTGGTCGGTAGCCCGGCGAAAGGACGACGTGTGCACGCGTCTTCTTTTCCTTTTTTTCGCCACAGTGAAATCCTGAGACAGCGCTCGGGATTATTACGCGAGCTGCAGAGTGGCAGCAAAAAGCACTTACATAAATCCTCATTACACTCTTGTTGGATAGGCGCGCGTCGTTCTTTTCGACAATTTTCCGTTGTATTGTCGCCTCGCCAAAATTATTAACAACTACAGTTTGCGCAAATGTCCAAAACTACCGTGAAAGTCGTTGAAATAACGTCGAACGAGAGAAAGAGAGACTTACCTTAGTGCAAACTCGCGCAGCAAGAGCCTCGATATGGCATTGCCACTCGAGACTGCGCAAGAACAGTAAATGCCAACGACGTTCGAGTGAGCTTGCTACCCGCAACGCTTGCTGCTGCTGCTGCTGCTGATGTTCATCTGCTGCTGCTGCTGCTGCTGCTGCTGCTTGGTCCGAGCATTGGTTTCGCCCGGCAACTCGCTCGCCGAGTTTAACGATCGAGCTCACGATTCGTCCGTGCGACTCGATGTCCCTTTGTAGTACCTGCGACAAAGAGCATCGACGAAAACGTTAGAGAAGGAAAAATCGATTAAAGGTCTATTGTGTGTCTTATATGATCTAAGAGCTGTTTGTTCTTCTGACTAGCTTTGTTCGGGGGCGCTAAGTGCATCTGCACGAGGGTATATATAATTTTGTTTTATTAGAGCCGTCGGTAGCGTTTTTTTAAGTCTAATTTATCATTGTTAATTTTTCTTATATTCAGAAGGATTTTTCTTATTTTGGGAAAGGAAATGCTGGTCCACCGACCTCTGCAATAGCAAGTGTCGCAATATATCATTGTTTTTGACGCTGTGTCTGAAATACATACGAGGTATATTCCTTGTCGGTAAAAATCTATCATGTAAATTTTCTTGACAAATGTAGACATAAAAAATCGTAATCTCCCCTCTGCGATCTCGACGAGCGTGCATCGAGGGTGTTGCGAGGTTACAGGCGCTCATGCCTAAAAGAGCGTGAATATCATTCCGCTCGACGCGCTTTTCAGAAACGCGAGCCTTTATTAATTAATCAACGCTACGAAATTGAATTCACTCCTTTTATTTTTATCTTCATCGCGCAGCCGTGCTCTTTCAATTTCCGTTACGCGCCACTTTTCCATTGTGCGTAGGTACGTCAAACAAAAATGCGCTGTATTTGCTTCAACGTGGAAAACGCATAACAGACATAATGACACGCCTCCGAGGCTTCCTATAAATAACAGCTGCAAGCGGTTAAAGCCGCACTAATCGATCAATCTCAGCCGAATAAAATGTCAGCGCAGCGCATGCAACAGCGCAGCAACTCCATAATCTCATTACAAGCTGTAATCCAGCCTCTCCGTTCATCTACGCGCGAAAGTGCACAGTGCACTCGAAAATGGAAAGGAAAACCTAGATATACGTGGATTTTTGCGGACGTGGGGCTGGCTCTAATGATGAACGTCGGGCGTGTTACGGAGAACGTGAACTTTACGCGCGATATTTCACGTCGCGCCACGGAAAACTTTCACGGAAAACGGCCTATATAATTGGGAGCCTTGGATATAATCTTGCGACCTCGCATGACGAAAAAGAGAGCAAGAGAGATTTAGTTACTACTACGACTTGGTGCCGCGCAAAAGCAAAACTCTCAATTAGAGATCTTACCGGCGAAATACTCTGTTGAGGATTCAATTATCGCGCACGGATTTATGCGGAGAATCGCTGCTCTTGTCTGATTGCACGCGTCTTTTCATGATGGATGGTCGAAAGTGCTTCGAGAGCGCAAGTATAATTGAACTCTTATATTTCTTTTTTCTTTTTTTCGACCAAATTGTTTTCACTGCGATGGCATCCGTGTGGCCGCAAGTGATTTGTGACACATTGATATTCATGGTTTTTTTTATCGACTTTTGTAAATTCATCTAGCTAGTACTAAATGAATATTCCATAATTTACAATCGATACGCCGTGTGTCTTTAAATGAACTGAATTTAGAAAAGACGTTTTTTGCAAAATATTCACACGAATGGGTAAGCACAACAAGGCAAATCGATAAAAGGTAGAAAATTCCGAGGAGGTAATTTTCTCTCCCCTTGCTAGGCCGTATGTGTAAAGAAGAAAAACTACTGGCGTGTCGATGCATACTGAGTGGTATATCGAGTACCAAGAACGCAATGCTACAGTACGAAACGTATATGTACGTGCAGTGTGCGCCGCGAGATATATACGAATGCTGAAGGGGAAAAAGCTTGGGTTTCATGCTTTCACGCCATTCTTTGGCATAGCACCGCGGGTGGCTTTTTACCCTTCGTACAACTCATTAGTGCCATTCCTGCATAATGCTGGAGATAAGGATGAGAGAGCGAAAAAAATGGCGTAGGGTTTCCGGTTCGGGGAAGGTACACGTGCGCGGACAGGCCAGCTCGCCGAGAAGATGCGCGTGTACATTGATGTTGTTTTGTGAAAATAGAAAAAAAAAATAATAGATCAGATGATGAACGCTCGTTGACTGTCTACAAATCAATGGCAACTATTGGCGGTAATAAATCTGCGTGAGGTTCAACCGCTAAACCTCATGCCGACTGTAGAGCGCAAAAAAATAATGAGGTAGCGATATACTGATCCATGATGAAACGTACTGATCTGTGAAGAGTCAATGCCTCACTTTTACATAACAGAGATCAGAAAACCGGTCGTTGAAAAAAAATACCATCCTTCGTATAGGTTATCATTAGCGAAGATCAACGTCGGTTATTGGACTTTCCGTATATTATACATCACGGCGGTTTCGGGCAAAAGATAAATCTATAATTAAGTGCTCCGTGAAAGTTAATAATCAGAGCAAAGCTATGTAATGTTGCTTCGCGGTTTTAACTTGCTTATTTTCTAGGGATATTTGTAGGGCACATATAACTCAACTCGCTGATTTATCATTATAAATTTGCTATGGCGACGACTTCCGATCCACTGTGCCATTTTAACCACGAGTAACAGGATGAAAGGTACATAAAATGACTAACGTAAAGTTATCGTCTGTATCGAAAGATTGGAGTGCTTGTGGTTAACGGCACAAAAAATAATCGCTGCGACAACTGATAGTTTCGTTTCTGTACAAATTCATAAATACTAGAGACGGTTAATAAACATGAGCTGAAACGAGATTGGGCCGTCGATTAACAAAGCATTGGGCAGAATCGCAAATGAATGAGATACATATGAGACGAGCGAATTAGAAATGGAAATTGAAGCGTGACAGTAGCTGTACAACGCAGGAAGCGTTATACGTTACCTTCCTTTCCAACGTGCGTCACTAGCCTTCTCTCGGAATACTGACCTCTCTCTCTAACCCAGTAATTTTGCGCGCACCATGTGGATTTTCTCCTTGTGCGGAGAACAGAATCCGCCGAAGCTGTGTGTGGAAAAACGTCCCTTTAAGATCGGGCGCGCGAGATATAAGGAGCGAAGGCACGCGCGCGTAAAGTACGCCAGACACACATATATAGAGAGAAGCACGTGCAATAATTACGATACCGTTGCTTCTCGCGCACAATGCAGCTTCGGCGGCGACGCGACGTTCCACATGCTCGCTAGACGCAAAGGCGCCAAAGAATTTATACGATAAGTCGACTTTGCTGCAATCGACGTGCAGTTATTCACGCGCCTTCTTCTCAAAGGCAGCAGCCGCAACAATTTTTTGATGGATTTATCGCTTTGCGTATTTTGTAACCGTTCGTTCGAAATGAAAATGACGCGTGCAGACTGGCAGGGCGAAGCGCGTTTTTTCATATCACAGGTGGTTAGCGCGACTAGAGGGAGAGGGAGAGGGATAATTGCTGCCGTGTACGGTCCAGCGTATGTAATTGCATTTGAAACGGCAAAAATTGATATGTCTAAGTGTGCGCGGAATTGAAAGATATAAATTACAGCTTGATTACGTTTGCCAGCCGTACGCGTGTTACGAGATGCGGACAAGTGCGTTTAATTAAACGGATGTTCTTCAAAGATTGTTCGGAGAAATGCCGATAAGCTAATCGGCAGTATAAGCTTTTTCGATTACTTGTGTGGAGACGTAATATTGAAATTTTACATAGATTTGAGAACTTTCGACTTGGATACTGACCCATAAATTTTCATTACCGCTGCTACTTGACTTTCATCCAGAAGGAATAAAAATCACGATTGCAGATCGACGAAAAAAAGAAAGTGACGAGCCAATAAAATCCTTGGAAAGAAATATCCGGCAAGTGGGATAGACGCTGAAAGTACGTGCGAAAATGGAAGCGCATTCCAAGTAATTTTCCATCGGTAGGAGAGTACGTATAAATAGTATAATACGAGGGCATCGTCATCATCGATACACGAGCGCTCGCGCGCGGGGTAATCGACTGATGATCACCGCGGAATAAAATAAAAAAAGATGTTTTTACGGATGATGATGAGCAGTAGGCGATGGCTCAGCAGGAAGATCGCTTCTTGATTTCTCGTCTACTTGCTTTTTCGCCTTCTCTTTATAGTTTACCGCAAGCGAGCTCGCCGTGCACGCGTTCAACTCTCCGTGTCAGCTTTTCCAACGCGCGATGCTTTCGCCTGCTGGTTCGATTATTAGAAGCTCATTCGCCTGGTAATTCTATGGCACGGGCTGATGAATAGAAATGGCAATAAAACCGTTGCATCCAATTGAAATTAATGGCTTTCGATCTGCGTCGAGGGCACGTCGAAGAAGACGGTAGCGCGCGCGATTACGACGAAGAATCGTATAGTTATCGTATAGTTATTGAATGTATCGCAGTATTGTTGACGCTCGCATATTGGTCGCTAATTGCTCACAGCGTGCTACAAGAAAGCATGTATGCATGTTTTTTCCCCTTACGTATGGGACTCATAATGATCCTTTATTACAGGTGGCGTTTGTTTGGTTATATATTATGTAACGGTCGCCAGATACATACATGCGTGGCAAATGAGGGTCATTGTTTATTAGTCGCATGATTGTATCTGCGAATGACAAGTTTATAGCTGGGTACAGTTGAATTTTCTTTGAATCCGCACGCAAGATAATGGCATATCATTATCTCATTGTCCTTAAATAAGACATATCGCGAAGGCAATTGCGCGCATGCGTGCCAATGACTCCGATCGGAAATCAAATAATAACAATAGTAATAATAGCGTTTATAATATGCTTGGACTGCACGTATTCGCGCGGTAAACAAGCCAATCAGCCTACACTTTTTGCGCCACGCGATTTCTTGCTGGAACAGCTCTGGTCGAGTACTCCGAGCTTCCATAATAATCGCGCAGACGGAAGGAGGCTAAGTACTCGACGGAATTGTTAATGAAATAAACCTTAGAGCAGCGAGTATTATTGGGCTTTTATGTGCCACTTGAGAACGGGGCGCGCTCGCGCGACCAATGCAAATTGGAAAGTTCTCGTGAAAATCTAACTTTGGTATGAGATAGTAATGTAAGCTCTAATCATTTCATTTAAGCTATTATCAAAGTCAACAGCCTGCACGGCACGGC